GTTTCAGGTTTCCTGCTACTCAGTTCAGAGGCAAGGTCGTTGACAGCTAAGACCGGCCGGATTGCGCATCATCAATTGGCGCCGTCTGTGGGAAACGCTTCAAAAAGCCTCCCTCCAAACTCTCATAACCCCTTTTCTTCAAAAAACCCAACACTCATGGCTTCTTCCAGCAACGCCGGACGCGGCACGGAGGCAAACACCACCTGGGAACAACTTCAAGTCCCCGTGGTGTGCGTTGGACAGTTCACCATCCCCCTTTCGGTGGATGGGATCCCCAGCTTGAATGCGCTCCCAGGGCCAACGAATCGTGCATGTGTGTGGCCTTCACCACCACCTTCAGGGGGGTAGCCTGCACTTGGTACAAGAACCTGGGCCCCGGGTCGATAAAGTGCTGGGCCTAGTTCGTGCAGGTCTTCACTGCACACTTCGTCACCAGCAAACGGTGCCCCAGAACGGAGGAAAGCATCTTCGGAGTAGTCCAAAAGGAAGGAGAATCCATCCAGGGCTACATCAAGCGATTCAATGAAGCATGCTTGCAGATACCGCGGTTAGACCCCGCGGTGCAACTTGCGGCAGCCAAAAGAGGAGTAACGCACAAAGAGTTCAAATGGCACATGGTAGCTAACCAGCCCGCAACCGTGGCCGAATTCCTCAAGTTCGCAGACAAGTTCATGAGGACAGAGGAAGAAATCAACCAACGAACCGAAGGCGGGAACGAGAAAAGAAAGAGGGAAGGCGAGCCCTCCAACCCAGTCGATAGGAAAAACCCGGCCCGGGAGCCGAAGCCGAACCAGTCGTTCCGAGCTCCCCTAGCAGTTCGGACGGATTACACGTTGTTAAACACGAGGCGGACCGAGATCTTAATGAAGATCAAGGATGCCCCATACGTAAAGTGGCCACCTCGCCTAAAGGGAAATCCGAACGAGAGAAATAAGAATTTGTATTGTAGTTTCCATAGAGACCACGGTCATAGTACCGAGCAGTGTAATAATCTCCGGGACGAGATAGAGGGACTCATCCGTCACGGATACTTAAGAAATTTCGTACAGCACAACAATAACAATAAGGCAGGTCGGCAAGGGGAGCACGAAAAGGATGCCCCCGAATCTAGCAGCAGACCTGCCGAACCGTTGCAACGACAGCCTCTGGAAGAGAGGCCAGTTCGGGGAACCATCCATGTAATTGTGGGAGGTCCGGTGGTAGCGGGATGTACCTCGGCAGCAGCCCGGACTTCAGTTCGCGAAGCGGCCCTCGAGGAACGGAACCCCCCAAAAAGACCAAAGACCGAAGAACCAATCTTCT